AACTGTAAAATCTGAAACAGGTACGAAAATGAGCTGAGTAGCCAGAACACGGTCCTGCGAGTGTAAATTCGATTTTCAACTGGTTATATTCGTGAATGGTGTTAAAGCGGGGGAGAAAACAGATGAGAGTTTAAGGAGGGGGGCTAGAAGTATCTGGAAGAAAGGGAGAGAGGAATGGCTTGCAGTAGCTTACCGTAGTGGCTACCCCTCCTGGGCGGTGGGCCGGGCACACCCATGATCTGTGTCCCACGTGGGGAGGGAGTGCATGCTTCAGCCTGCGGTTCTGGCCCCAGCCACGTGGGCACAGAGACTGAAAGTCTGGGCAGAAAGGTGGATGCGGGTGACTGAGCAGGGAGGAGTGCCTTCAGGAGTCAGGAGGTAAGATAAACACAGGTATGAAAAGAATGAGCGGCTATCCGGATAGGTACATTCTTGCAGAAAGACAGTCAGCTTCAAAAATTTTAAAATCGCCACAGCAGCCAAACAAAACAGGCCGGAGAAAGAATTTCCAGAAGAGATTCAGAAAGATAGCTGCTTCCCACCCCCTCGGACGACAGAGCAACATCTCTAACGAGATGTTCCCAGGATGTTCACAGTGACTGACTCTCCCATCAACAAAGCATTTCCCCTCCCCAGCCCCTTTCTTATCTTTCCATCCTAATGAAAAGGTACCTCCTCCTTTAGGAAGCCCCCCTTGACTTCTCAGGATCTCTTAGCGACATCTTCTTAAAACACCCTTCTCCTTCACAGCTCTTCTCATGATCGTAACCTAATAGGAATTCATTTAAAATCTGTTTCAATATAAGAAGATGAGTACCAGGACCTGAAGATGGGGTAATGGTTATGTCACTGGACTTGTGGGTAGTCGACCATGGTTCAAACCCTCGACCTGGCAGCCTCACTTTCCCTCTCTTTCTGGTGAGCACATGCGCCCTATGCCCCACCACCAAAAAAAATCCTGCTCTAACTTACTTGATTATTAGTAGAGATGAATATTCTTATGGTAACTAGGCAATTGTATTTCCTTCCTGTTTTATAAACTGTCCTCGTTGCTACTAGAATGTTAATATTACTTTAACCTTTTTTTTAATTGCTAAAGGGTTCATACATTAATCAGAGAGAGAGAGACAGACAGAGGAGGTAGAAGAAAGTGCTCCTCTATAGGGTATGCTCACACACCAATCCCTTATCTATTTCTTCATCTTGTTTTGACTTGGGGCACACGCACACATGTACCTGATATGTTTTTCAAGCTGCCAGGCTGGAATTCAAACCATAGTCTGTTATGTGGAATCCAGCTCCCTTAACCACTAGGTTATAGGGTCAGCCCTGTTAGATTTATGAGCCAGGTGGTGGCACAGAGGTAATGCAAGTGGACTCACATAGGAAAGGTCCTAGGTTTATGTCCTGGGGTCTCTCTGAGCATGCTGGGTGTGTGTGCCCATGATCTGGGCTGGCTGAGACTAGGGGTTGATCGTGGTATAAAGACCTTAATGGAGTTGCTCATCTCTTTCTCTGTCTCTCTGCCTCATTAAAGAATCAAATTTAAAAAAAAAAAAAAAGGGAAAGAAAGAAAAAGAAGAACAGGCTCAGCAAGTGGCAAAGTGGTTAAGGTACTGGGCTCCCATGTGATCACCCAAGGTTCTAGTCCTAGATCTGATGGCTTGACACTCACTCTGAGCATATGTGCGTGCATGCCCCAAATCCTGAGAAGAGAATGAAGAAGGGAAGATCGTGGGATGGCCATTTTCCTGTGGGAATGATTTCCCACTTCCTGTGTCTCTCTGTCTCTTCAGTAAGTGCATGTGCCCTATAACAAAAATCTCTCAAAAAAATAGAAAAGCCTTTTGCAGAAACATATAATCATCAAAATCTAGAATATTTACTCGTAGGTCTTTCCCAGATCAAGTTCACTGACTCCTCACCTAGAGCCTCCTGGGGACCATCTCCCAGATCCACCAGAAATCTCAGACCCAGAGACATGCAGAAGTCTGAACCCCAGAAAAAGGCTGTCAGATACTGTCTCTCAACGTAAAACGTGACTTTAAAATCCATGAGTAAGCACAGCGCTGGTTAAAGAACTGGAGCATATTCATGCAATGGGCATTATGCAGCTATTAAAAGGGGCAAGTCAGACTGAAATGTACAAAGGATGCCAAGGTAGCCACAACGCACTGCCACAGTAATTTAATGGACAACCCAGATAGTATTTTCCAATTTACTTTAAAAGAATAAGTGTATGTATGTTCAGAAGATGAGAGAATATGGATATCTAGACTATTCATGGTAAGTAAATCCAGGGAATGGGACCAAGGATTTTTATTTTTTATTTGAAACCCTTTTGTAGTTATTGAATTATTTACCCTGAGAAAACACCATTCTACGATTGAAAAGAAAAATAATAAAGATGTTGATTTTTTGAAAGGATTATTTAATTTCATTCATCATTTCTTTTTTAAGAGTGAGATTTTTTGCTACAGGGCACATAGGCTCGCTGAAGAGACAGAGAAATAGAAAGTGAGAAATCACCCCCTGTGGGGGGCTGGCCATGCTGCAATCTCTTCTCCTCCATTTTCCTCTTGGGATCTCAGTGTGAGTTTTACGCCACTGGGTCTGGGATTTGAACTGAGGTTAAGTATGTGGGAGTCCAGCAATGTAACCATTATGCCACCTGTTGGTCTTAATAATCATTAATTTTTTAAATTTTGCTACAGGGCACATGTGGTCACCAGAGAAGAGAGGGAGAAAGTGAGAAAGTAAGTCATCGGGTCTGGGACCTGGATTACCGTTGGCCATGTGGGAGTCCAGTGCCCTAACCACCATGCCACCTGCTGGCTGCCAAGATGCTGATTTTAAAAAGCCACAGTTTGGGGCCAACAGGTGGTGTAGTGGTTGACAACGGACTTCTGACTGTGGTTCGAGTCCCAGACCTGGTGGCTTGAAAATCACACTAAATACATATGTGTGCATGCCCAAAATCCCAGGAAAAGAATGGAAGAGAAGGGATTGCAGCTTGGCCATCCCCTCAGGGGGTGATTTCTCACTTTCCCACTCACTGTCTCTGTCTCTCTGGAGAGTGCACCCACTCTGGCAAAAATCTTAAAAATAAGTAAATAAAAAGCCGTATTTCCTACTCCTTGCAATAGTGTGCCTAATTCAGGGCCAATTCTTGAATCCTGCGGTCCCAACTCTGCACCTCACAGGTGCGGGCTCCATGTAAACACCCCCCTGAAACATGCAGTCTCACATAACAGCGGGAAGCTGCTCACGTGCTCGTTTTGAGGAAGCGTAAATTAGAACGGTCAGAAAGAATGCTACTTCCCTTTTCCTAGAAACTCCGGTTACCCTTTAAACTAAAACACCCTTTTTGGGCCCGAAGAAGGTCAGGTTGCCAAGGAACTATGAGTAAACCCGCCGCCCGGGGTGGCAGCTGTCAGCTGCACTTTGGGTTTCTCTAAACAGCAGTTGGCTCTCCGGGCCCCAGGACCCCTCTGAACGCAGGCTCATGATCATAACCCTCAGTAACGATCCATCCAGGTGGAAAGAGGTGGCCATGAGGTTATGTGGCCATAGACGAGAGAGGTGAGAAACCGAGGTGGAGCCAAAAGGCAGATTTGGCAAAATTTCACATTCAGTCTTGGCACACATGTCAATGATCCCTACCAAATCTAACCTGCTTTATTTCTGTCTTCCCTATTCTCTCCTGGAGAGTTACTTGGGAAAACAGAGCTTCAGACACAAGGCGAGCAGCTGGCTTGCCCTGCCCCACCCAAGATCACAGCCTGCAACTGCACCCTGCTCACCTTGTCAGAGAACCACATCACCCTCAATTTATAAACCCACGGCCTTTGACCTGGGGATCCTGGAGTCATTCCGAAGGCCTAGGAAGTCTATAATAATTGGGGATGTTGGGGTGCAGTTCTGCTCAACTCAGAAACACACATGGAGCCTATGTTGTCTTCATGGGTCAAAAAACCCATAGGTAGCAGTTCCAGAATTTCCCAAAGCATGTTCTAAGGAATGTCAACCAGTGAGAAAAAGATGTAGTAATGAAATTAGGGAGACCCCAACATTTGCAATGCCTGTGTTGGAGTTTGAGTGTCAATGCAGTCAAAGTTCCAACAATCATGCAGGAGCTTAATCTGTTTGACTTGAGTCAAACCAAGTTGACCCCCCAAATCTTTTAAGATCTTGTTTGAAAAACCCAGCCCTAGTGACCAAAAGATGGTGTCATGGTTCCATTGCTGGACTCCCATGTAGTCGACCATGATCTGAATCCTGGACCCGGCAACTTAAAACTCACACCAGACGTATGTGCGTGCATGCCCAAAATCCCAAGAGGAGAATGAAGAAGGGATTGCAGTATGGCCATTCCCCTGGGAGATGATTTCTCACTTTCTGTCTCTCTATCTCTCCAGTGAGCACATGCACCCAATAGCAAAAAAAAAAATCTCTCTTAAAAAAGAAAACAACAAAAAAAGAAAAATAGACAAACAAAAAAATCATCCCGCCCTAGACCATAAGATGGGGTTTAAAAAAAAAAAAAAATGCCCAGAGTTCCAGGATGACTCAGACCTTGAAGCAAGACCCAGACTCAGATCCTTACCACTCAACACTGTGGGGAAGGTAAGAATTTATTGCCGTCTCTGAGTACAGATCTGTTCTTAAAAATAAATAAATAAATAAATAAATAAATAAATAAATAAATAACGTCCCCAAAACAGAGAGGTGGAGGAGGGAGAAAAAAGAACTGCCCCTGTACGGGGGACAGGGCGAGGTGGGGGACAGACAGTGGCAGAGCAGTAAACGTGATGTTCTTCAAGGCTGAACGACATGGGAAGGTTCTGACTTCAGGACTCAGGACCTTTCTGAGTCCACTGGGGTTCTGTTTGGGGGTGCTGTCTCTCTTGCTCATGGAATAAATAAGTAAAAAAATTTTCAAACAGAAAAGGAAAGCACCCCTCTAGAGAGACGAAAAGCTGGGCCCGTGAGGGACTCACCATTGGTCGTCGTGTTGACATAGTAGCGCCGGCCCTGCGGGGACAAGTAGCTCTGCCAGCCCGGGGGAAGGACGACGGTCTGGCTCTCCTCTCCAGGCGGAGGGGGGACCATTCCAGGCTTCTGTTGGAGAGGAAAGAGAAGGTCACATACGTTCGGCATTTCTGCACCTGCTTTAAACCAGGAAGTCAGAGGCCGATGGGCTCGCCCTGGAAGAGCTGGATGTCGAGGCGTGAGTGGCCCACAGGCCTCCCCGGGACTGCAGGAGCAGCGGTGGGAGCACTTGTACTCTCAGAGCCAGCGCAGAAGCGACACTCTCCAGTCAGCAAAGGGAGTGAGGCTTTCTCCTCCTCGCTGGTCCCCGAGGAAACCACTCACGGGGTGATGCGCTTGCCCGCGGCCCCGTCACTCCACATGCTCTCTGCGGGCTATGAAGCCTGAAATCCACAGGACCACCAAGTACAGCAGCAGCCGGAGCCGCGGGCCTGCTGTGCGAACCTAGCAGAAGTAATTAACGTACACCGCGGCGACTGCGAGGTGAAACACTCCGGAACGCCGGCCATCTGCAAAGAGCTGGATGGGACTGTGTTCACCAGGCGTCCAGATCACTCTGGCAACGAGAACAGGGACTCAGAGATGAAGCGGACACTGACCCAGTTTTCACTGTAGGTGACATCTAATTCTTCTTTTTTAAGAATTACTTAATTTTATTTATTATTATTATTATTATTTTCCAATTTGCTACAGGGCATGTGCACTCAATCAGAGATAAAGGAAGAGTGAGAAAGAAAGCCACCAGGTCTGAGATACGAACCACGGTCAGCCATGTGGGGGTCCAGCACCCCAAACGCCATGCTAGCCCCTAATTTTTCTTTTTTTCAATTTGCCACATTTCTCATGGACTTGCCAGAGACAGACAGACAGAAAAAGAGGGAGACGGAGAAAGCACCCCCGATGGAGTGTCATCATGTCACAGTTTCCTTCTCCTCTATTCCTCCATCCTGTCGGGACCTGGGGCACACGCACGCACACACACGCGTGCACACACACTCCTGGCATATTTCTCAAGCTGCCGGGTCTGACTCTCAAATCATGCATTGGCTAAGTGGGATCTAGCTCCCTTAACCACTAGGTCATGTGGCCAGCCCTGAAGTTTACAGGGGCCAGCAAGTGGCATGGGAGTTGAAGTGCTGGACTCCCCCATAGTTGACGACAGTTCAAGTTCTGTACCAGGCAGCTTGTTTTCTCAATTCCCCTCTATCTGCTGAAATAAAATAATCATAATGATAACGATGACAATGAATGAAATTGAATAAATAATTCTTTTTTAAAAAGCCAGAGAAAACCATCTATAGAGTTATCATCAAAAAGTTCATGAAGCAGGGGCCATACTCTGGCAGCACGATCACACACACACACATGGGAAGGTCCCGGGTTGGTGTCCTGGGATCGCGGCTGGCTGAGGCAGGTGACAGGTCGTGGTACTAGGGCCCTGTTGAGGGAGTCTGTCATTCTGTCTCTCTCTCTCATGGAAGAAATCTATAAATGAATGTGCAGAGACAGCGAGCAGTGGGGACTCACGGCTCACAGGCTGCTCTCTGCCTTGCAAAGGCTGCAAATCCACGTGCCTGGCCTCCTGCGGCGCCCTGCCTGTGTCTGTGTGTGTGTGTGGGGGGGGGAGCGAGGAAATCCTAGCTGCTCCTGGGACTGTGAGTACACACAGCCTCCCGTCGACCCTCTGTGTAGCTGTGATGAATGTTTCATGATGAGTTTTCACAACTTAATTAAAAGCTTTCCCCTATGCCCTCCGCACTTCTGCTTCCTACACACCTGCTAACCCGCAGCGCCGCTGAGACTCCGAACGTCAGACTGTCTCCTGAACAGCCAGCTATGGTGAGGTGGCCAGTGGCCGGGCAGAAAGCAGCGGTGTCCCACCCAGCTGCCTTTTCACCAACAGAGCACGTCCACTGGGCCTAAGCACATGCCCATGCAGATCTACCTGGGCCTCTGCACTGCTCTGGATTCTCCTGGATTGGAGGATGGCCAAAACACAGGCAAGACAAATGGTTTATGATGAGTAAAGGGTGTGTGTCTGTGTATGTGGATAAAGGATCCCCTCTACAGGAAATATAAATGTTGGCCAATGAGTCAGGAGTAAAGCATAGAGAACTTAAGAGTTGGCATAGTGGTTAAGGTGCTGGACTCCCACATGGCTGACCACAGTTCAAGTCCTAGACCCAGAGGCTTGGAACTTATACCAGGCATGTGTGTGTGCCCAAAATCCTGAGAGGAAAATGAAGGAGAAGGGACTGTGGTACAGCCATCCCCCGCCCCAAGGGTGATTTCTCACTGTTCCTCTCTCTGTTTCTGTCTTGGTCTCTCTAGCAGGCGTTTGTCTATGGCAAAAAAAAAAAAAAACTTTAAAAAGAAAAAAAAAAAAGCAAGTGTTTAAGGGACCTGGTGGTGGCACAATGGTAGCACAGCTGGACTTACACGGCAAGGTCCTGGGTTCACATCCTGGAACCTCCCGGTATACGTAAGTACATGCACGTGTACCCATGACCCAGGCTGGTTGGGATTGGGGTGGATTACAGCACTGGCACCCTGTTGGGGGTTCCTCTCCTCTGTCTTTAAATAAATAAATAAATAAATATGTTTCCAAACAAATGAATGTTTGACTGGAAAGAGAAATATTCTGTAACGAGAGGGATAAAATCGGGTCCCTTCTTGAGTCAAAAATGTTTGCTAACTGACCATGGGAAAGGCCACTGTGGTGATGTCTTAATAACCTGGGAGGACATAGGAATTGTTAAAGGGGGTTAAACGAGAGTCAGAGATTGACATGACCAGAAATGAGCTGAGAGGGCTGGGGAGAGGTTGCCCAGAGGCACACTGAAAACAGCCCTCCACTGTTGGCCCAAATGGCTTTCAGTGCCAGTTCCGATGGAACCACTTGGTAGCCTGTGACCACAGACGAATGACTCAACCAGGCTATCTTTGCATCTAGAAGACAGAGGATGATGATATTAGCCCAACTGGAGGGGACTCTGGGGAGATGAATAACAATACCTTGAAGCATGCCTGCCACCAAGAGGGCACAAGACATGGGGGATTCCATGGGAAGTAGGCCGACCGAGGCCAGGGCAAATGAGACCAAGCTTCACATAGACCTGGCCTCCTGCAATACAGAGTTCAGGAAACTGCACCCCAGCACCTCACCATTGCCTGCCCGAAATGTCACCAGCATGGTCACTTCTGTGAGGTATCTGTTTGTAGGACTACCTGGCTTAAAAAATGAAGACCTGGTTGGCAGGCTGCGGGGAGCGGTGGCACCTTAAGAAGTTGACAGTGCCTTCTGTTGGGAAGGTTCAGGAGTCAGGAGACTGGAGGGTGCATGGACCCACTGACCCCCACCTCTGATAGAACAGTAACAACACCTGTCCCTTCACAGTGACAGAGTACTTTTCTTTTACAATGACTCTAGATAATTTATCTAAATAACCCTACTGAGTCTGAAGAAGCACCAGTTGACATGCGAAGACCCTGACAACCAAGATGGGAAAATGACTGCTTTGAGGTCTCCAAGAGGAAATGCAGGACCCTACAGGTAGTGCCTAAGGGGGAAGAAACCCTGCTACCAGGCCAGAAGGCCATGAGGTGCCAAAAGAGTAGAGAAGGAGTGTCCCTGGGCCAATCCGGCCAACAAGACTAAGGTGGTCTCCACAACCCCCTCCTGCATGATCAGGGATCCTCCACCCACCCTCATCTCCATCTCCTGAGGCAGCCATAGTCCTTCTGGCTTTCCCTCATCTTAAAGTTTATTTTTATTTATTACTTTCATGGTGGGGAGGAAGGGGAGACAGGGATCTTTGATAGAGTCTCCCCATGCCATGATCCTCCCCCAGACTCCTAGCCAGCCAAGACCATGGGTAGGCTCAGAGCATTCAGTCAACCCACGATCTGAACTCAGGACCCCAGCATCTCACAGCAGTTGCCTACTACCTGCACCACTGCTACTGGGCTTTTCTCCTCTCCTGTCAGCTGACCTCAAACCAGTCAGAAGTTGAAAGCCATGGAGATAACTGGGTACCTATCCTTAAAACTGAAAATAAGCATTCAAAGAGTTGAACGCAAATGTGTATGGCAATGTCATTTGTCATAGCCGATCGACAGAAACAACCCGGCTGCCCATCAAAGGATGAATGGATAAACAGGCAATGGAATATTATTCTGAAATAAAAAGAAATGGAGGGCTGATACATGCCAGAACATGAGTGAGCCTAGAAGACATTATGCCAAGGGAAAGACACAAAAGGTTCTTTATTTCATGATTCCATTTACATGTGATGCCCAGAATCAGCAAAGCCACAGAGACAAGAATAGATAAGCAGTTGCCAAGGGCTATGGGGAAGGGAGAATGGGCACAGGTTTTCCTCTTGGGATGATGACAAAGTTCTGGAACTGGGAGAGTGGGCAGGGTGGCACAATACTGAGAATGTATGTGTGATGGTAAATGTTATGTTCCATGTATTTTATCACAATAAACACTTGAAGAAGATGTGGCAAAGGAAGAAATCAGGACACCCCACCGTCAATCCCTCACTAATAAGACTAAAAACAGCAACATTACCTAATCCTTCGTGGCCACAGAGGGATAGGAAATGCCAGCCTCATGGCAAAGCGACCCACAGGCACCAGGAGGATACAGTGGGAACTGCCACCAATAACCAAGGTCTTCCCCAAACCCATTCTTCTCACTAGTTTCCTTCCCGGATAAGTCTCTCCCTTCTTTCCTTAGTCTGTGGCTTCTCTCATTCAGTTTTGCCAACTCTTCCCCATGGGCGTGCGGACCAGAAGCAGAGGTGACACAGTTCAGAGGGGTGGGTACCTTCCCTAGAAGGAACAAGATCACAGGGAGCGGGGACGGGATGGGGGGAAGGATGAAGGTGGTTTCCTCCAACTCAGAAATCCTTAACCGAATGCAAAGGATATCTTTGTGGCAATTATAAAACGTGCCTTTTCCTCTGGAAGGGGCCACCCCTAGGCTAGCGTGCACGGCCAGGTTTCAGTCCTTTCCCTTCCTCCCTCATGCGGGCTCCCCTACTCAGTAGACAACTTGCTCA